ACAAATTTCGGACGTTTAATTTTTGGGACGCTTTTTATCTCATTTCGGTCAAATTTCTGAAAACAATTTCGGTCACTTTGCTGAAACAAACTAAAGTAAATTTACGGCTACAAAACACGAATTGGAACAACATTAAGAGATGATAGTTTTACAGCAACCTCAACTGAGGTTTCACGAATACACCAGCGAGAAAATATCACAGATTGATGATTCTATCAAGACGTCACGTACATGTATGTCAAGTGGTGTCTAGCCTGCAGAACAGGCGGATTAGCGGGGCAGAGAGCGAAACGCGACACACGCGCGCGGAGCGCGACCACGAGCGCGAGCGCGTCTCGCTCACTGCCCCGCTAATCCGCCTGTTCTGCAGGCTGAGTGGTGTCTGAACTAGAGTTTGCTCCATAAAGCCCGGCATAAAGGAAACTAAGAGCTTTGGAGCTGCTTCAAGGTTTTATACTGTACTTTTCTTGGTTGACAATTTGTCAGTCTTATGCTCCAGTGTTTTTAATGGATGTAGGTAGCGCTGTGTTGCCTTTACCTAATTTCATAGGCAGTCTCTCGCTTTATGTCTTTTTACTTATTTCAAAGGTTTCAATGACCACAAACCTATTAAACAGTCAGGCAATTACTCGTCCTCTGTTTGTTTGTTCGTTTAGTCTGGGCAATTACAGAGGTGGTAGCGTCACTAGAAGCACCGGACGAATTTCTTAAGAACAGAGTCATGAACTTACCTGAAAGTGTGGTCGCTGGAACGCACAACACAGAGGAAGGTAAGGCTTGTCATGTTAAAACGTTCCCTGTTTTTCAAACTGTTTTTTCTTTCCCCTGGGACTGACGAAATAGCGTCTTTAAGTGAAGCTTCCAATCTAACGCTCTGTTTACATGTTTCCAGGTTTGACGAGACGGTTGGCTGAGTTTCGTGCTATTAATACTGAAGATGAGACAGTCCTGAATTATTTCGATGAACTGGAAATACATCCCGACCACATTGGTGAGTAAATGAACAAAAATGATGGCATATGTTATGAAGGTTATAAAATAAATAAAGTAAATCTTGGTCTACGCAGGAATTTCTGAGATTAAAAATTTTTCAAAACGCGACGTTTCAGGCGGTTTTACTGCCCTTCTGGCATCGTAGTTTCAGCTCAATGTGGCGAAATTTGTTTCAGAAAGACTGTTACGAAACTGATTACAAATTTTGCTGAAGATGTTTATAAGTCATTTTGACACAAGGTACTCGGGGAAAAAAATTCCAATCCTTCCCAGGACCAAAATGGACTAGACTCTCAATTTTCGCGTTTTTCGCAAAAAATTTTAGTGATGAAAAAATAAATGGTTAATTTATTAGAAGAAATGTGAAACAACTTTATGCAGTTCCTGGTGCAGGTTAATATAAAGTTCAAAGTCCAATGTTTTGCGCCTTAAATTTATTGCAGCGCCCGTCTAGATTGGTTCTTATGGGTTGGTATTCATTGCTAACAGATTAATGTAATTCTTCACCAGATATAACTCACGATAAAACCAGGAAAATGACCAAAATAGTGGAACAAATCAAAAAGCTGATGGGATCACCCAGAAATTACGGTAAGTGTAGAACATAAAGGCTGTCACGACCTCGAATGAAACTTTTATCAACGACACTAATCGAATCCTGAATTCCCCTGTGAATGTTCCTTCGTTCTAGTCAGTTTGAAAAATTGGTAAGGAGAGTTAGAACTATCCACTTTGTTCAACTTGTAGAAATATTGGATTTAAAACCTTAAAAGTCATGTTCGCCATTTTTTTTTTTTTTTTTTTTGAATTAAGGTGCCCTGGTTTAATTAAAAACAGATATTTGATATACAGGGACAAGCTCCCCAGGTAGGTATGCTTAAGCTAGGGCACCTGAAATTGTAATGGAAAATGTCC